ATCAAATGTAGCACAGTAATCAAATTTCACCACAATTATATAGAGATTTTGCTGTAAATATATCCTGGAAAGTTGAATTGGAAAATGTTACAGCTTGAAATATAACAATAACTGGGTAATGTCATTCCTTTCAAAAACTAGAATTTTAAAAAATATTTATGCAATATTTTTGAAGAAAGTAATTATTTAACAAATTAAATGAATTGTAATTACCTGATGTTTCTGCTATTTTCTTGACAGCATGAGTAGTCCATGTTGTGAAGTCTTCAGTGCCATCCTTTTTTGCATTAGATAAGATTTCTCCTTCACTAGGCCAGTGGCACATAACTCGGCCATTTTTTTTTAATAACCAACGTTTCGGCACTACCTGCCATGACTTATCATAAAAATACAAACCAAAAATACAAACATACATCAGAATCATCTGAAATATCTCTTGGTTCACTGTTTTTTGTAGCACTCGAGTGACTCGACTCAGCCGACTGTTCATCGGCAACGGTTTCATTCAAATTCTCCGGCCTCCGCCATCGACGAAATATTTACTGCATCACTCCTATCCGGTATAGCAGATTCACAAATTTTATCTGAATCATGATCACCAATGAAATGAGCCTTCCTTCTTCTCCGCTTTTGTCTATCTGATAGAGACTGGTATGGTCGTTTTCGTTTAGGCCTATCCATTGCACGTTCACTGCGCCACGGCTACACCTTAAACACCGAGAGGAAGAACGGCACGACGTTGTGAGGCTATTCCAACGGCCGGGGACCGAGCACTTTACCCGATACCAAGAATTTGTTTTAAACTAATTTTTCGAAGTCTTTTATATTTCGTGACATGGCACTTAATCGGATTGTAAAATTTTCAGAGATGATGTGACGTGGTTTATAGTAAATTATGACTTGATTTTAACCGTTTTTGATGATAATGCTTAGGATTTAGGGGAAAGCGGACACATCTTTATTACCCCAGATCGTGCAAAGTCGTTTCGTTGTCGTGAAGACGAAAACCATGTAATAATCTTAGCTTTGATAGTACAATTGAGAGATAGTTGGTTAATCATTAATAAATAATAGTACTAAAGTTGATATAAAAATAAATTTCTAACACTCCCGTACCAATAATGTGATCTAGAATTCTCAATTGGACACAATAACGCACTAAAAACGACGAGCAAAGGTAGTATCATGCCTGCAGTCCTCTCTTTGCATGCCATGTATCCTTTACGTATAGCATAACTTATAAATTAACATAAAACTGTAATTAAGTAGTCAAGATTTATAATGCTGTCATGTCTCGGAATCATCCTGATAGGTACGGCCTGCATATGCGCTTGGCTACAACTCCCTGCCGGGCGACCTTTCTCGCTGCGCTGCCACAGCGCCGTTGCCCAGCTCTTGCCGGGCGGCCGGAATTTATCCTTGTATCAGCCCAGGTGCAGCGCTGCGTTAGAGATAGATGGCCGGTTATTGTTTCACGGCTCCGTCCTGCTAAAGCGCGGCAGGCCCGTCCAAGAACGGCGCCGGTCTCGTCTCAGAATTTTAACTGGGTACGAGGGTATGTGGGGGTCTACCTCCCGCACCCCCATCCGGACAGAGCATACCGTTGCAGCAATTGAATACGAAGGCGCCAGTTTGAATCGAACCTTCAATCGATCAGTACGTAGTGATGAGTGTTCATTGCTCAATGCTTATCGAAAAGGTACTAGCCTATTATAGTTTTGTCTCATTCAGAGAGCTTTAAACAATTTGATGCTTTCAGAGAGCTTTAAACAATTTACCACGATCGCCCCAAGCTCGACGAGTAATTTCACAAGATTCCATTTCGGCGCTTATTTCGCTACGGCAACCGGAACCTAATGCGGACATAGAGCTTCTAATTTACCCGGCCATAAGAACTTGGGGCGTCCGTGTGCCAGCGGCTGACAGGTCTTCGAATTTCGATAGGGTATGTTCCACCTATAACCTGCTGATGGCAACCCTACCTAAAAACCCTTCTTCCACCAACAATTTACCAACTGGCACCGATGGCGAATCGAGCTATCAATGACCACCTCTCGAATTAGGTCTTTAAAAATTTTCCATTAGTTCTGAACCCAGTTCCTGTGCATTCTCAAATTGATCGGCATTCCTTTCAAATTCGATCAAGCATTTTAAGATCACGTCTACACATCAAGCATGGCAGTATAAGCAACAATGTCGGAAACGTAGTAGGAACAAATAATCACATTACCATACACAAATCTCGTGAGAAATCGCCATAAAGCAAACTTTATGCCTGCTCCAGTTGTGATCGATCTCAAGTCTCCCGCGCGTGAAACCAAGCCTCTTCCGCTGAGCCATCGGAGAAGACTTACGAAACGAGTCATTTTGAGAGGTTTAACTGAAGTTTTGCAAATTTTATTTCATCAATTATTATTAATAAATGCCACTAATGTGCTGATTAGATGGTTCCATTAACCACTAGCTGTTTACTCGAACACGTTACTATGGTCCATAAAACGATAGCTCAAAGAAATTCCGTTTATTATGTATGGAACTTTCTTTATTTATACATTATATCCTTTTTGAAAAAGGAAGTTTCGAAAGAGTTTTGACGAAATAATTTTGTGAAAAATAAGGAATGTTTAGAGGATGTATTTGATATAATTCGATAATTTTGAAATGTCAGGGGTGAAATTCTTTCCTCAATCCGTGCCGATATTTTTTCATACCCTAATAGATGGCTAATTATCGCGTAGGATTGATGCCGAGACCACTTTATTATAAATGTAAACTTTAAAACAAAATATTTATATGACGAGATGAAACAAGGCAAATAGATTCGTATGAAAATATCGCACCAAATTTAGGTTATAGGTCGGGTGAACATGAAAATACGGATTTGAAAAAATCGGAATCGGATCCTTTAATGAATGCATGTATCGCGAAAATGTTTCTGTTATCCCTTCGCTTTGGACAGTTTATATCAGGGGCAGTTTAGCAAGTTCCCAGTGGCTTCACTTAAGCATAAAAAATGTATGATCGTCTTGCTACCGACGTACTTAAGGCTCGCTAAATTTTTCGAGAAATTTACTTCAATCTGTAATCTAAGCCAAGCACACAGAACGAAATAATGATTTTTTCTTGATCTGGAATAGCCCGGTCGTCAGACCCTAATGACTTCTTTCTACGGCGGGCAAATTACAGTGACGAATTCCTTCGTGTATTGCGGTGGCTTGCAAGTGATATCGGTGGCTTACAAGTGATTTGCCTGCAACTTGCCATCGATGATTCACATAATATAAATTATCGGTTATTCATCGATGATGTATAGCCACCTACCTATATTCACCACCATCTCGATTTATTGTTTTTTACTGTCGATTGTTGACAGACGTGGCCACCCATCGTTACGCCACCTTTAATCTACATTTCTACCTATAACCATCGGTGCGTCACACTTTATTATTATTTGAATAGTAAGGAATCTTCATCGCGTAATGGCATTCAGTAGTTGGCGCTAGAAATGTTACAGCTGCATCCACTATTGCATTGAGTACTTCATCTGATTATAATTGATCGAAAAACTAGGTATTTCAATTGTATTTCTAGTAGGAGAATTAAGATTGACTTTTTTGTAAGAGATGCTCAGAGCTTCACCTTCTGTTTTCAGTTCATTCCAGGTCACTTTAACATTATAATAGAGTTTTTGATATTATATAGTTCAAACAAATTGCCTCTAGTCATATATCTCGTCATATATCCAAACTACCTCATAGCAACTCTGTAGTGCCATGTACAGATAACACATGGATTGACATTGACTCACGGTGGCCCAGTACGGAGCGCCCATTTGCAGGGCCGCTCCGTCACTCCACTGCCAGACGTTGTTAGCCGACAAGTTGGTCGCCCCTAACCAATAGCCGTTGGCGTAGTCAGATGAGTCTGATGGAGTGCAACGTTAATAGTTAACATTCATCGTTGACAAGATCCTGTTGGAATGACAACCCAGTTAAAATTTAGGGCAGGGAATAGAGCAGGCCGTCGCCGGCTGCAGAGCCGACGTAGAAACGCGACAGAGCAGCGATAGAGCAGAAATGTCCGCTTTAGAGACGATATCACCAGCCGCGTATCAGCGCTAATTAGCTTCTGAGTACCTGCCCAGGTGTGCTCTGTCCTGCCGTCACGCAGCCCTCACTGAGCACCGCCTGCTCAAACCTGCCCAACGCCTGCTCTGGGGCGGCTCTGGCAGTGTACGCGGCAGTTACGCGTCACCGTTTGTCAACAACGATTTAAAAAAAAATTGTTCCTTCTCTGAGATCACCTAGACTTCTCTCTTGCAATGACAGGTTGTATTGACATTGGTTACTGACATTCTCATCCTATTAACTTTAGCAACGTAATTTAGAATCTAACAAGTTCAATTATCGAGGAAATTTACACATCAAATTACTCACCGTTATGAACTATCTGCAAACGTCGACTGAAGCTCCGGGATTCGAACGCAGATTCTCCGCGTCGTCCTCCACGCCTGTACCACTTGACCGCGCGGACACCCTACCATGCTAGGCTCTATGAACTACTTTACTATAATACAGAACAAATGACTCGCCATCATTTAGCAAATCGAGGAATAGCTATATTTGTGGTTGAACTTGATAGATATTATTCATAATGCACTAATTTTAAAAAATGAACAAAGTAGCCATTCGTATGATCCCGTCAGTTAGATGTAAGTGAGTATTAGAGCTAAATTTGTGTAGTAATTTATATTATTGCATTAGCTTCATGTCATTCGATAGTTTGATAGGAAAATTAACAACGTACGCAAATCATCAGTCTACTGAAATCGCAATTTCTCCAAGAGTTTTCATGCAAAGAAAGCGCCAAATAAATTCACCATATCTTTAATGAAAACGTTTCGGAGACCAGAACCGGAACCCACGGAAAGTCGATCAATTTTATGAACCGATGATGGTGCTGGTTTACACATTTTCATTGAAAATATGGTGAATTTCTTTGGTATTTTCTTTGCTCTAACATTGACTGTTATATTAACGCGTTTTCTGTATATCCATGTTAGAAAACTTTCTCATGATAAACTGATTGATATCTCGCTTTAGGTAAGCGTGAATGACCTTCAACGTTTCTGTTAGAGTGTTAAAACTGGAAGAGCATATAAAATTCTTACGTACTTCGAAGTATTAAAATACTGACGTGAAATAAATATCACAAATGGCACCGGAAATTGGCTCAAAATATCGTGCTATGCGAATGAACTAGCTAGATGGAGAATGAAGTTCATTCTCCCGTCACTGTTTCCAACCCCTACCACTCCTCCCTCTCTAAAAACCCCCCCATGCACGGCCTGCTTGCTGCACTGTACAGCCATCTGCCGGGCAATCCCAAGTACCAGCGCTAAAACAGCGCAGAGTTCCGTCCCTGCCGAGCTGCTAGAATTTTGTCTCTATATCAGCCATGGCGCAGCGCAGTTTTAGGGATAGATGGCCGGTTATAGTTTTACGGCTCCATCCTGCTAAAGCGCGACCAGCCCGGCTAAACCCGGCGCCGGTCTCGGCTCAAAATTTTAACTGGGAAGGACCTGTTGTCCACAGGACAGTTTCTTGTGATTGAATAAGTCATGCAGTGAAACACTGGTATAGGTTGGCATGCCAACTTACCAATTTTCCAAAAATCAGCGAAGAGGCATGCACATCGTTTGTCTAATGATAATCGAGTCATAATGATATTGCAAGAAAGTTAAACAGAAGTCGAATTACAGATGAATTATATTTGCTGAAATTCCTGTCCTACTAAACATCAAGTTGATTCAGAGGAAGAGACTTTTTACTGAAATTCACTTCTAACTTATGAGGGTCGACTTACAATGTTTCCAAGATGACAAATACTTTGATAGCAGACTTTTTTAATTATAAACTTTTAGTGACTTTAACATGATTCCTGTAACACCTTACATCCATCGTTAACATAGGTGGCGACATCAATGAAGGAGGCACAGTCTTTAAGCACAGGCAGCCTGCCGAAGTGCTGGTAGCAGTAAGTGACCGCGTTGTCGTGCGTCAGATATCCACCAGTGGAACGGTGGATGCACTTGCGCCCGACTACCTCATAGCCATCAGGACATTCGGCTACAACAGCGCCTGCCATATGAGAATTCCAAGTTGATAATACAATCAATTTGGCATGCTTAGGTGCGTAAATTAAACGAAAACTTTATCAATTGGAACAATAGACAACCAAGGAATGGTTTAGGGTTATTCCATGTCAGGGGAACCAAAACTGCCCACCTGACAATCCAATTTTGATGAATGATCACACATATTTTAGTTCAAAATCAACCCGACTTTGCGAAAATTTCAACTTAAAATACGAAAGCTTTTGCAATTAATGGCCCTCAACGGAGGGCGGTGAAAATGTCCCCGAAGGCCTGTCGCTTATTTTCAATTTCAGGTTACTATTGTGGCATGTCTATGCTAGCCACTGATTTGAAAAATAAGTTGCCTGTAGTTTTCAAAAGGTGCTTCTAAAAATTTGTTTCAAACGAGTAGAAACAATTCATAAGTTCATTGTCCTGTCCAGTCTATTGTCAACAAAGGTAACATTGTACACATAAAATATTGACATATAAATCACTTTGATTTTTCAGTGAAAATTATTTATATAAGCTAATAGAAGCCTCTGATCGAGCCATTTTTCAACAATGTTTGAACACTACACTAAATAAGTTGCTGTATCGCAATTTTGTTGAAACAGCATTTATTAGAAAGAAAAAATTATGTACTATAACATACGCTTATTCTATCTATGGACAATAATAATAATTAATTATTCCAGCTACTGCTAATATTTATAATAAAATGCATTCCTCTTAATTCTGGGAATAAAATTAATTCCCGTTCATTCCGGTAGACTATGTAGCTGCCTGTGGCAGCTTTCCACTTTTGACAGTGTTAATTTACCTGTATGAAATAAAAGACTCGACCCTGAATTATATTGAATGAAAATAAGCATTAATAAATTAGGAATTCTCCAACAAGTAAGGAGGTAGGAAAACAACTGAATTGACTGTCAAAAAGTAGACGAAACCTCTTGAAAAATTATGCCCTCCCAAAATTGAAAAATGAAAGCGAAAAAGAAAGTAGCGAATTCATGCACGTTTCGCCAAAGAGCTGTCACGTGCATATGGGCATCTAAACACAGTATTCTACTGCCTTTTGCAATGTAGAATCTAATTCAAAAGAAATTCTTGTCGTTCCAATGTAGTGCAATAATGAGCCAAATGCAGCATTTTTTAAACTAAGTTTTCTTCCTTTGCAAGAAGTACTCATGGCTAGGATTAACATATGTTATAGTGTATAATTTTCTCTTTCTAACCAATCTGTTTCAATCAAATTGGTTTAGTGGAACTTATTTAGTTTTGTGTTTAAACATTGTAGAAAAATGGTTCCGAGGATTCTATTAGCAAGGTTAGGTGATTTCTACTGAAAAACCGAAGCAAAAGACTGTGGAAAACCTACCCTCAAAAGACTGTGCAGAAATCATGGAGATTGATAGATTTTCCTCTGATCTACAGGGCACTGAACTTATGAATTTTTCTGCACCTTTGATTTTCGAGCAAGTTTGACCTTATTCTACTCAAAAATATTAACAACAAACTATTTAGAGAAAATTTATTGAAAGCACCATCTCAAGTCCCGCAGACATCTCAGTTTTCAAATCAGTGGCCAGCACAGATATGCCACAGCAGTGACCTGAAGTTGGAGATTTTGTGCCCCGTGATCGGGACATTTTCACCACCTTTCTTTTGAGGGCCCCTAATTTTAGAAGGTATTCATATTTTGGGCTGAAATGTTTTTCAAAGTTGGTTTTAAACAGGATCAAACTTACGGTATGCATAAAATTTCGTCAAAATTGAAGATGGTTAGCTGGGGCACAATTTCATAAGTGGTGCACTTTACATCGAATGATGCTTTACTAATTTGAAAGAAATTATTGAACATTATGAAAAATTTTATGAAATCAGCCAGAGTTGCAGAATAATTTTTACTGGTTTCATTTATTTCATGGTTTAACAGTTATTTGGCTGTCATTTGACTACACTCATACCATAATAAGCAGACACTAACAAGAGCTGGAACTCCTTACCAACGGCTGACACTTCACCTAATGGTTGTTTTAATTCCTATGCAGAAGACACTCACCGATGATGAACAGTAGTAAGCAGATGATCGTCGACGGAAACATCCGGGTGGTCCTAGGGCAGTATAACTCTAAATGAAACATGTTGGAAGGTTATATACAAACGAAAGTCAACAAGTTTATGAAGCCTCTTGAAGGAAATGTATGCTAATGAGAAATATCATCAAGTATGCAGCTGTTTGGTCTGATAAGTTACCGTATTTATAGCGTGCACAGCAGATTGATGTTTCTCGGAGATTCACTGATTGCACGATAAGGTCAGGTATATTCTCATAGCAACAGCTATTCTAGGCAAGTGTTTTGAACGTGACATGTGCTTTGGTTCGTACATATACTCGGAAATGTCAATGTTTTCGAGAAAACTATTGACATGTTAGCTGTCTAAAAATATGAAACCAAAGGATAAGTACCAAAAGACATGATAAAAGAGTTTTCTTGTTGATGGTTACGGTTCGTTAGCATTCATTGTGGCTGCAGAACAAAATTCAGGAATCAGTACTATTGGATTCATTTACAGAGAAAATAACGCAATAATCAAACAGGAATAATGATGAATCTTTGTAGTTAAGGAACCGCAAATACGATACGAGTACAAGTGCATAATGGCGGGAGTATTGATACCACTTATATGAATAGAGCTTGCGCGGGAGGAAGTTCTAACCCAATATAATTCTGACCTGCCGAAGCGGACCGGCAAAATGATTAACAGATGAGAGTTATATGCTACAACTACATAGTTCACTTAGAACTTATTCCAAAATATAAGTTGCAACAGAAATAACATAAAAGTTCAAGTGGGCTGTAAGGCTCACCAGTCGAGTCTAATACCGAGTCTACCCAGTTAAATTTCGGAGACGAATTCTGCGCCGTTGACGGCAGAAGAACAGTTTAGCAGCAGCATTGCAGCAGGAATCTCAGGACACTGTCCCTTGTTAAAAATCGGGACAGGGAGCAGCCGCATATTGGCTGGAATTTCACAGCGTCATATATATAGGCAACGGTTTGCCGTCCGTGTCCGTGTCGAGGCAGGGTGAGAGCAGGATATCAATAGGGGTGAATTGGGGTTTGGTAAGAAGTGGGAGAGAGAATGAGTTTCTATGTTGACAACGAGTTTACTGAAACGTTTTGTATACTATATTTATTGAAATAGCATCGCAACTATACGTCATAACAATGACAAAGCACATACAAACTTGTTCACGATTTGTACTTCATATTATACGGTGGCAACTGAATGTATTAAAAAACTTTTTTGTCAAAGAATAGATAAGGCATAGACGAGGAATTGTAACGTAAAGAAGTGGGAGAGAGAATGAGTTTCTATGTTGACAAACAACATTTTCACATGTGAAGTTTATCATATAATACCATATTGTATTTATAATGATCAATCTTCCTCCTGAAAAACTCTGATATACTGGAATAAATCAAACAGTTCGTTACAGATTATAAACTTTAAATATTGATCAGAAATATATATCAAAAATATTCCGAATCAGTCAGTANGCGGCTACTCTTCTACGTCTGCCACCAGAGGCACCTCTGTGCGTGCATGCGTGACAACCTCGTACAACACTGACAGCATTATCGCAAACTTGAATAGACGGTACCTTGAAGAAAATGTATGAAAAATGTTGGTTTATTTTGAAAACTACGGGGCCTAGTTGGCATACGGTGACTGCAGAATTGTAGTTCTGTTGATAAATTGCATGGTATTCAATTACAAATTGCTGGCATGGGGTGAAATATATTGTTCAGAAGTGTCGACTCGTCACCTAGCCGGAAATAAATAAATGGTCTCCAATTACGAATTGCTGGCACGTGGTGCAAGATAGTGATAAATTTTAAGTCGGTGAAATAGCTCTCAGCTGTTGTAAATACCTGTATTTCGTATTTTTTTAAATTTTTCAATGTCGAGATGTAGTGGCCTACATCAGTTCTTCTCGTTTGTTAAATGTCGTGTCTAGTAAACGTGATAGCTCATGCTGTATTCTTTGGTATTAGATTAATAATCGAGTATGAATTTGATCATCAATTTTTTTTATTTATTTTATTAAATGTGTTTTTTAATCAACGCCTTACTTTATTGATTTTTATGAGGGTTTCTCGATTTACAATTAATGTGTTGATAAAAATGCCAAATGAAAATCAGCCATAGCCCATTCTTATCTTGATTCAGACATTAATTTGAAGCTGTTGAAACGTATTACCTTAACAGATAGGACGGGTGAGGTAACGCTGAACTTAGGTTGATATTAGTTCCTCGTATACGTTTCGATTTGAATGGAAGAATCTTCCTTTCTTGCATCGAAGTATAAAGATATGATTTTCGCGACTTCGGTTAATGGGGATTTATGAATTTTGTGGTTAAGGAAGGATATAACCATCGTTAAATCTCGTTAAATGACTTATGATCGAAGACTCCTGCATTATTTGTGTTTATCCTAGTTTTACGCTTTGCTCTGCCCTTTGCATTATTGATGTGTGTATATTCAGTGTCTTAACATGTTGCTGAGTTTTTGTCAGAAATCAAATAGTTGTACCAGAATATAGGATAATGTTCATTAATGTGTTATTGATAATTGAATGATGCATAGAGCATAAAGCCCTTAGCATATCATACTCTAAGCGGCGTTTCTGCCATCTATCTTTTTTTTTTTTTGCATAGGTGATGTAAATGTGTAAAAAATTTAGAATAAACGTTTAATTGCGTGGACAGAATTCTTTAGTTATCCCCGAAAGAAAATAAAATGAGCCTGAAGAGAGCAGGTATAGGGCAGCGTATAGGGCGTGTCGGCAGTAAGTGAGCCGGAGCCCGGCAGGACTGATTCGTTGCAGCCGAGCTCCAGCGCCAAAATAAGGCCTTACGCAGAACGTTTTGGGCCCCTTAATAAGCGGACATCCTTGCTGGATTCCTGCTTGCCTCATGCTTCTATCATGCTCTTGGTTCAGCGCCGGCCTAGCTCCTACACTGCTTCTAATTTTGACTGGGTAGCGTTGAAGTTAAAACATCGATAATGAAAGAAAAAGGGTATTTAAGAAAGTGGGGCAGACATACGCCCTAACACGTGTGTAAACCAGTTTATATTACAGAACTTAGCAAGGTTATAAACTGGATTATTCTTGAATAATGAACTACCATCACAAGAATTTCATCCTGCAATTGCTTGCGACTGGTGTTTAGAACTGTTACCTGAACGGCACAATTAATTTTTTCTGTGAACGCCATCCTTCGACACCTTTCTGTCTTTTTTGATAATATATAGTAAGATTTGAGTTCACATCTCTTTTCATTGGAAGCGATTGACCATACATTTTCTCTGTCCTGTCTAATGAACGACATCGCATGCCACGTCTAGACGCCATCAACTCTATTGCGCTGCTCAAAGTAATTTGGCTTTAACAGAATATTGACTATAGCATCGAATTGCCAAAAGAGTCGTTCGAAAATTCATCTCTATGAGTCAAATTTTCATCAGCAACTCAGCAAAATCTTCGGTCGCATTCTTATCGAGTGCAAACACTGGTTATAGCTCCTAAGAACAACTTAGCACTCCTCAATACTAAATGTACATTAATTGTTGCGTAGCGTTTGCTTCGTTATGAATGTGAGATCATGATATTCCTTATAATCTCACGTGAGAATGAATGTGAGATTATTAGGGATATCATACTATACATATATCCACTATTCCCTAAAATCGAATGCCTTTTTAATCGGATACTTTGCAATCGGAAATAACTAACGGGGGTAGAATTCTTTGTGCTTCCACGTCGCTGTAAATAATAATGGATATGCTACCGTATCAGACTAAGTGTGAAAACCTGCCAGCAAAACAGAAAACACAAAGTCGCTCCCACCTTCCACCTAAGTTGACCCTGTTTCAACCCCTATTTGCCTCCGGTGTTGCCAGTGCACACTACCTGTTCTGCGTTGTACTTTGTTTGATTTAAGGTTAGAAAGAGGGATAGCGTTCACTGTCGTATCTTGTGCCGTTGAAATTGGAATTACTGAATATAGTGGTATTATAGTCATTTCTAGAGCTCCTACTTGCATTTAATTTGGATCATTTGTCTCTAATTTCATTGTCTTGAACTTCAGCCTCGACAGTTCAAGAGTGACTGCACTGGTGTCCAAGTTTTGTCGTTTCGAGTTCAATAAAAAGTATTAGCTGTTACATTTTGGTAATCCTGGCGAACGCTGACGAATAAAAATTATTAGCTGTTACATTTTGGTAATCCTGACGTATTAACTGACATTTTTTTATTTATTCACAGAATCATGTAAAGAATACGCCGAGTTTTTTTGACTATCGAATAAATAATTTTCGACGACGAATGAATCATTTTTCGGCTATAATTCCTAATCCTAGTTATTCCAAACAAAATTACAATTCACGAATATCACAACACAAATTTAAATATCACAATATAACTATTTACAAATATCACACGCAAATTCACATGTCACAATAACTATTCACTAAACATTCAACATCAGTGAAGCGCTAAGTGCTTCACGACTGACAGAATGAAAGTGATGAGTATCGGTTGATCAGTATGAACAGGCTTCTTCTCTACATGAAAATGCTAGTAAAATTGACAGACAAAATCCTTAATTATAATAATGAGTACAATTTAAGAGAACAAATAATAGAAATAACTGTTGAATGATCGCAAAAAATTGCCAAGGAAAATCACGGTACAAAAATTAGTGACGCATGAGGCGCGGCTACACCATGTTCAGCTGCTAGTATACAATAAACCACGATTTGAACACAGCTCAGGCTATGGACGTTTCGGTCTTACCACGAAAACAGCGTTCGTCATGATTACCAAATATCTACAAGGAATAAGAGGAATAGATAGGTTATGTGAGAAATAATTAACAAAATTTAAGAAAAATAAATTAATGACCTCAATTTGCTGAGACTTCAAGTGTTTCACCACCACGTAGTTTCAGTGCAAACTTAAGAAACTGTAACGAACTGAGACGCAACCCAGGACTTGACTGGCAGTTCATCCACACTGTTAGAAAAAACGGGCGAAAAATGTGCAGTGCACGTTTGTTTTCGAAGTTCATTAACCGTAATCCGATCATTCAGGTTATTTACCGTGGTTTGTTGGACTTCAGAGGTAGATGGCGCCACAGTCATCGGTCGAGTTAATATCTAGACGCCATCTTGAGTGGAAGACATTGCTCATGAGCTAAATTTATTCAAATTATTATTGTTGGTTTATACTAATTTTTGTTGTTGGCTGTGATTTTTGTACCAATGAAATGGTATCGTGTGTTATTCGATTGAGTTGCTCATGTTTGTTCTCCTATTCTTTGAGTTTTAATACTTTGAGTTGCGTTGGTTCGTTCCACATCAGTCGATTGCTGAACTCTTCTATAGACTAGAGCCAGATAGTGATGCTTTACACCGAGGTCGAGGAGAAACTCCCTGTTATGTATTAAATTTTGATACTTTCAGGATATAGTGCTTTTATTCCTGTGGAAATCAAATAGTTTTTATTGACATTGAGGGCTTTGTCGATTTGACCGCAGTAGGGAGGGCCGGAGGGGTTCGACCTGGCGAATGCGGAATGGTGACTTCAGTCAGTTACTCAGTTTTGTGACAATTTGTCGTTGACAATTTACACTGCTCTGCTCATAAAGTAGTTTTATGAGAGGTAACAAAAATGAGCAGGTCTGAATATCATATTGTATTGGAATTTTTGCAAGTGAAGCTTCCTTTTGAATGAAACCTTGCTGACTGTGCTGACATTTTTGTTTCAACATGTGAGACAGCTTCTTGAAATATAGATTGCTCATCAACCCTAGAATTCCACTGTGATTTAGTCTCTTTTACAGTTAACCAGTGAACTAACTAACCTAACTTGGTTTATATGTTTTGTTTACATCAATTTTATTATTTTTATATGCCAAAACTTCAGCATATTGTTGCACAACTTGAAATATGGATCTGATCACCCATTAGCCCATGCCCAGGGCATGGGCTAATGGTGATCAGATCCATATTTCAAGTGATGCCCATCACCAACTTCTAAACATTTATGCTTTGTTACTTTAAATCCTGTGATCAGGTTGGAACTTGGAATCAAAATCACAGGTTATATCACAATTCGGGCAACTTGGCTGCCCTGAAACAAATTTTGTCCACTCTTCAATAAGTGAAGCATTCAGTATTGTTACTATGTAACCCTATTATTCTTAACATGATAATAACATGCTAAAATTACTAAGATTAGCAACAATAAGGGTTCAGTTATGAATAATAATTCACATTAATATTTTATATTAATTGTTCAGAGCTTTGACTTATGACGTACCATCAATTGGGATTGGCCCGCCAACCCTACCCCAATGTGGAATATTGGGCAGAAGTTTCCAAAAATTGATAATGAAAACAATTGTTTCATGGTTGATTTTAAAAAGCTGTTGGAAAAGTTAAGCCAGTTTTCATATTTTCTACCAAAGAAAATAGGAAAATGCCATAGGGATGGGTAAAATTGGCCAAATTCATAGGCGCTATTGTCCAATTCCAATTGTCCAATTGTTTCCACTTGGGAACCTCTGCCCTACCTTAGACATAGGAGAGAGGCTCTTTCAGTCATATATAGAAATAGAAGTGTTGAATGTATTGTCATATTAATAATAACAAATTTCTTATTTACTAATCAACTAGTCTGTTAATAAAGCAATATCATATATAATTAGTCACTAAATAAAGCAATATTTTATTCAGTCATATAAGCAACTTTCTGTCAATGCTTTTTTGACTGGAAAATGTATTGCTTATATAGTGACTAAATAACATTTTGCTTTATTAAAAGATTAGTTGATTATTAAAAAATTAATTTGTATTATTAATGAAGAGGTACATTCAACACTTCTATATTTGACTGAAGTAGCTGACTTCAAAACTCAAAGCTCCGAACAAGTGAGAGATGGTATTTAATTTATCTAAATTATTATTCCCAAATAAATCTTCATTGTTAATAATAATAGCAATTTTAGCATGATACAACTGATAGGGTAAAAATAAGGAATACGGTACTGCACAAAATGGAAATGTGGATTCAGTTTGTTTAAGAGCATCCAACATGTTGACCTAAAATATGATTCCAGTATTTAAAATACTAGAGTATAAATATCTAAAAATTGGCTATGGAATAATTGTGAGGATAAGATACAAATTATTTTATAATTGTTGAAGTTTTTGCAACTGAAATTCATGCAAACTAAATCCATCAAACAAGTTAAGTTAGTTTCTAAAAATTCTGTTTAGTTCTTCACTGCACAGGTATATCTGTAAAAAATGTAATAATATTTGTTTTGTATATATATTGGTGTTTCACAATTAAATATTAATTCCATTATTTATGTGCTCCCAATCAAATCAGAAACACAGCTCCATTTTCTATCTGAATTAGCCCCAGCTCATCAGTTTCCCCAAGTATGCCTCATTTGAGGACATTTCATTTCTTGCATAAAAACCCGCATTTGAACACACGTCTGCATTGTTAATCCATGTCTTATCATTTTATTGTATCATTGCTAGCCACAGAATCATTGCTGTTTCTGTCATTTATCCCTTATTTCAATTTCAAAAAAAAACTAATTGAAAAATTTGTCAATTAGGCAAATAATTTTTAAATTTTACATAAAAAATGAAAACTAAATGCACCAAGGCTCGAATTAAGAAGAACCCAGCAGCATTTCAGCCTGGAAGTCCAGACATTTTGAGTGCTGAAAACCATCCAAGAGTCTGGAAGAGTCTTCTTAAACAATTAAGTGAGTATTGATTACCTTGCACAATTAAAGTTGTTATATTATTTTATGCAATGCTTTACCCATAGAATATGCTTTCAATTAAAAGCTTATGTGTATTGCATTGTGATTGTATTTTCTATCAATGCGTGCTGAATTAAACTTCTCTAGCAGTATAGTTAATTTTATAATTTATCAATTAAATTACAAATGTTGTACTATGGAGCATTAGTTAGCATAATTATTTACAAGACAATAATTATTTTCCAGCTGAATCACCTGCTGAGCCAGCCATGGGAGTGGAGACAGAAGGTCCCCTACAAGAAGTATTGCAGTACTTACTGCACTACTCTGCCTCATCATTGCCATCATACTTTGACTTGTGACAGGATTCATTAGAAGTGAAGTTGAAGGAGCTGAATCGTCATGTGAGCTTTTCATGAAAGATGCCATATGACCCATGCTCTTTCTGTCTTGGGCGAGTTGTCTCAATTTTAATTTAAAGTTTAAAAAATTTTTCTTGGTTTATTTGCTGCATATTGTCAAAAATATCACTAATTTATCGACACTATTTACTGAAAATCAGTTGAGCTCTGAGAAAAAATATGCTAGTAAACTGTCGACTTGGTTCTGCGTCAATATTTGGATAATATTTTGCTTTAATGATTAAAACAGATGGTGATTGTATTAATTCCATATTTTGCCTCTTCAGGACCGCCATTAGTGCACGCAGAGCAGCGCTGTCGTTCCATAAGCAAATGCGAGGTGTCGAGCCTCGTGGACGGACTGGTGACGCTTCTCGCTTCCCACTACACCACAGACGACGAAAACCTGAATGCAGTCAGCGCAGCTGTGATATCTGAAGAGGTTTGTGATTCCCTCTGTATATTGAGGATCGGCAGTTTCTGCTTCATTAACGTATTTTAATGTGTCTTTAAAGTCAATTTCAGGCATTTAAAACTTTAATTATTTGGGCATAATCGCAAATTGAACAAGATAGGCATTTAATGAGTTCAAATATTGATAAAACGAATCGAGGCGCTGATTTCACTGCTAATTGAGTCAATAGCTCTCACAAATGTGCTCATCCAATCTACTGTTCATGATACATTGGTCATACTAAGGCCTCAGGTCCTCCATTCATTGATTTGAAATTCATTGTTGTCCTTTTTCCAGGTGGAGGCTCCATCAGTTTTTATAAATGCAATTATTTTGAACTAACTTAAATAATTTTTGCAGGTATTCTACGAGCCAAAATTCTCCATCCACAGGAGTGCATCCAAAAGTGACCACGAGGTGAGGTGTCGACTGGGAATGTCTGCTGTTTGGCCCGACTGCGGCGGAACCTACAGAAGCAATGTGGCACGCAGCCTGGGTACCCCCACGGCGAAGATTCTGCTGAGTTCCTGGCACGCGCCCTCCAAACCCTGTCTCTTATACACATCTAGATGTGTATAAGAGACAGGAGGCATGCACATCGTTTGTCTAATGATAATCGAGTCATAATGATATTGCAAGAAAGTTAAACAGAAGTCGANCCTTATGTCTCGCTATGTCTTCTTATGTGTGGCTATGTCGGATTACAATAGTCTGTATGAAAGAAACTGTAGGAAGCCGTAAAGTACAAAACGGGCGTACCGTTTTCGTGCAGGAAAACGTTCCCGTCGTTTAATTTAACGGTAAATGACCGGTCACTGTAACGCCGGTGGGAACGTTTTTTTTACGGTCGATTTTCTAACAGTGCAGTCGACCACGACCTCTTATGGCAAAACCTCTCGCCAGTTGAGTGGTGCATTGCATTGCAATTTAATGAAATCAATAAGATGATGATACAGTAGTTAATAGACGCTAAATATCATTGTCTGTTCATTTCCTCTGCTCCGCTCATATGTATTGCGAGTTTACCGATATATCTGTAGATATTGAAACAGTTTTGAGTCTTCGAATCTTCAAAGCAAGAATGAATTTGATACTGTCGGAATCTTAACCTTTGAGATTATTTTGTCCACTTGGAGATTATTTTGTCCACTTTGAGATAATTGTATCCACTTAACCATTAATATTATTGTAGCCAAATGCGTGTGTCTAGATTAAAAAGACAAGTTAGGTACTTTCGTTGGATTTAATGATCAGGCTTCTGTGTTCTTCTGTGTTGTCAGTTAATACGAACGAGAGAGATTTGAAAATTCTTTGTAATTCTAATATCTCGTTCCTTATGAGCTGCAAAATAGCAGAGAATAAGAGAGAATCATTCAGAACAAGATAGCAGATAATCTATCTGAATCGAGTTATTGACGCTCGGCGTATTTAGTGATCATCATTCATTCTGATTTTGAATCTTTATAGACTTAAAATTATCTATCATATGCTGAAGTATGCACTCTCTTGAGTGTAATAAAAGAGAAAATGATGATTTGATAGAATCAAATCATTGCAAGTGTTGATATGATGTAATTATCTTTATCGTAGGCTAAGATTTCCCATGCTAAACGAATTTTTTAGTATGTGAGAACAAAGGAGTCGTCGAAAATTATTCATTCGATAGTCTATAATCTTGCCGTTTTGTTCTGACATGAAGCTGTTTATTGGCATTTCAAATCTTTTGCAATCTTAGATTACGAGATAGCTTCTTTCATTACAATGTTGGGATTTTGTTAAGAATAAGCACCCCAGTCAGTACTATGCGCTTTGGCTAATATAAAGACAAATTCTAACAGCTCGGCAGGGCCGGAACGCTGCGCTGTTGTAGCGCTGGTACTTGGATTGCCCGGCAGCGAGCTGAACAGAGCAGCTAAGCAGGCCGTGCATGGGGGGTTTTGAGAGAGGGAGGAGGGGTTAGGGCTGGAAACAGTGGCGGGAGAATGAACTTCGTCCTTCATCTGGTTCATTCGCATATTTCGATATTTTGGGTCAATTTCTGGTGCCAGTTATGATGTTTATTACGCGTCACTATTTTAATACTTTAAATTATGTAAGAATTTTATATGCTCTTCCAGTTTTAACACGCAAACAGAAACGTTTACGATCATTCACGCTTCTCTAAATAGAGATATCAATCAGTTTATCATGAGAAAGTTTTCTAACTTGGATTTACAGAAAACGCGTTAATAACAGTGAATGTTAGAGCAAAGAAAATACCAAGAAAATTCACCATATTTTTGATGGAAATGTGTGAGCCAGCACTATCATCAGTTCATAAAATTGATCGAATTTCCCTGTGTTTCGGTGCAGGTCTCCGAAACGTTTTCATTGAAGATATGGTGAATTTATTTGCCGCTTTCTTTGCATTTAAACTCTTGTAGAACTTGCGATTTCAGCAGACTAATAATTTCAGTACGTTGTTAATTTTCCTACCAAACTATCGAATGACATGAAGCTAATTCAATAAGTTAAATTACTAAACAAATTTAGCTCTAGTATTCACTTACATCTAACTGACGGGATCATACGAATGGCTACTTTGTTTATTTCTTGAAATAGTGTATTATGAATAATATCTATCAAGTTCAACCACAAATATACGTAGCTATTCCTCGATTTGCAGGATGATGGCGAATCATTTGTTCTGTATTATAGTTAAGTAGTTCATAGAGCATTGGATGGTAAAGTGTCCGCGCGGTCAAGGTGGTACAGGCGTGGAAAACGACGCGGAGGATCTGCGTTCGATTCTTGGAGCTGCCGTCGCCGTTTGCAGATAGTTCATAGTGGAAAGTGATTTGATGTGTATATTTACTCGATAATTGAAATTGTTAGATTCTAAATAACGTTCCTAAATTCAATACGATGTGAAAGTGAAAAACCAATGTCAATACAACCTGTCATTGCAAGAGAGGATTCTATATGATCTCAGAGAGAGAGAGAGAGAAGGAAAAATTTTTTAAATCGTGGTTGACAAACGGTAAGGCGTAACTGCCGCGTACACTGCCAGAGCCGCCCCAGTACGGGCGTTGGGCAGGTTTGAGCAGGCGGTGCTCAGTGAGGGCTGCGTGTTGGCAGGACAGTGCACACGTGGGCAGGTACTCAGAGGTTAATTAGCACTGCTACGCGGCTGGCGATATCGTCTCTAATGCGAACATTTCTGCTCTATCCCGACTCAGTCGCGTCCCTACGTCGGCTCTACAGCCGGCGACGGCCTGCTCTATTCCCTACCCTAAATTTTAACCGTGGAATTGTGCATAATTAAATTTCACGATGGGATTCAATTATGAACAAATATATATTTGTAGCCGTGAACTACAAAGTTTATTCTTAAAGTAGTCAAAGGTGCCAGGAAAGGCACCAATCTTACTTCGTTCATGGACACAGGTGGCATCAGATGATTGAATATTAATGATTGAACTCTGCGAGAAATTCCTCATTTATTACCGTAAATTTGTACATAGATTCTAGGTTGCCTTCATTTTTCCGTTTTTCTGATTTCATTTGTAGAATAATTAAGTGTTCAAAGTCAGCGATTCTGTAGCAGGCCTCGAGAATCAGTAGCAAGTGTTTCAAACATTCTCTGCTAGTGAAAATCGAGATCGAATTCTTCGTGCAATTTCTAGTTAAAATGGAGTTCGATCAATAATTGCTTAAACGCATCCTCTACTATCGCCATAAACAGTTGTGCAAACTTTTCTGAACCCAAGCGTCTAAGTATTTCTAATATCTTGCTTAAAACCTGTTTTTTTATTCCTTAGTTTGTGTGAATGTCGTTTAAATTTCGTTTTGTTTCGTTCCTTTTGCCCTTGTTAAATTCATTTCATTATTCTGTTGGGAAGTTGCATTAAGTAATTTAATTCAAATTTAATGCATAAATTCGAATACTAGTTCCATCAATCCATTAGTTACCAAATGTTCTATGCACTGATAGTGCAGTGTATTTATACTGTACCTGCGAAGTTCGCTATATACCATCAAACCATAAGATTAAGTCTATTTCTAAATTTCAAACGCAGTTAAACCTCTCACTATTCTGTCTATTTTTCTCGTCCAATTTCCCACCCCTTCAACTGATTACCACTATTTTCCGCAATAAATTCTTCCTACAAAATGTGTTGAACCACACTGGGCAATAAAACCTCAGGTTGGTGGATCACTGATGAATTTGTCTCAATTATCTGTTGTCAATATTCGTACATTTTTTTCAGCACCAAATGTGTCTATTCTTGATATAAATCCATTTCATCGACAGTATTCAGTTATCTCGATCCAGCGATGGGCCTGCTTATCTTTACTATTTTTTTACGTCACCCTTTCGTCACCCTATACTCTCCAACGATCACCTGCTACGGGCCTTCGAGTGTTGAAACAATTCGCATTAAATTCAGCTGGAGGATCCGGCAACCAAAACGTATGATTTCGAACTTTGAAATTTACTTTAATCTTCATCTCACGATAACTCATCATCTGAACTAACTATATTGTCCTTCAAAACTTTGTTGGTTAAATTAAAATAAAACTTTACAGAAATATGGCTTATTTGCCTTAACTTCCTCGATTGTGTAAAAACATCACAACTCATATAAGGAAATTTCTTCTCACTATTTCCCTCCATTTGCCACAATCGCACACCGACTCGTTTAAAAAAAATGCGCGAGTTTCTTTATCCAATTAATCAACGTATAATGATTTCTGATATTAATTGAAAAAATTTTATACCTAGCTAAAAGCTTATTTGAAATCATTCTTAGCCAAATTCAACCAAGGCAAATAAATTCTAGATGCTGCAAGGACGTTAGTTCAAAGCCAATGACGATTTTCGCAGTTTTCACAGTGAATGACGATTGATTGCAGAGCCCCAACGCGTAAAGTGAGATACCATGTAGGAAAAACCCCAGCCTTCGAGTAATGGAGGACGGGTAATAAATTCCGTAGCCCTCCTATTATTACTTTTAATAATATATTCCACTACCAAATGCCTGAACTTCAGAAATTTTTTGAAACAAACACTGATCAATTAATTGTAATGGTTCAAGTTACCATTATTTTTAGTTATGGTTTGAGATATATAAATTAATAAATTCCAGAATAATACATTTATAGTGGTGATGTGATTATAGTAAAATCTAGTACTTGCAATTTTAATGTTGTTCGTAGATTTTCGAAATTATTTTAATTTTTCAGTGTATTCAATTTCAGGGAAAACTACACGAGGCAACGATTGTTGCAGTGATTATTTTTATTTCAAAAATTTCCGGTAGTTGGCACACTCTGGGTTATATATTTTTAACGAATTCATTATATTTCGATGTTTCAGGGGAAGAAGGTTTCATTACCTTCCTAGCACACGTTGAATGTAAGTGAAAAGAGTACTTTGGTATAAAAATCATTGCACGTATTGATAGAAAACAATCTTTTTGATTTATTACTGTGATGTATTAATGACAAGTGATGTTTTTGATTGGTAAAAATGTAGAAAACAGTTTCCAGCAGGATAGATGCGAACCATTATCCAATATATTATAAGACGAATCTAAAAGAGTTTATATATATTTTATTTAGCGAGCCACTACTGGTTGCTATCAGGTTGGTCTCTGTGGAGCATTGAGATTGCAATTTGATCTCTTATTTGTGAGTTTAAATGTACCAAAATTTCAATGAAAATATTTGAAGAAAGAAGCTACACATGAAATAGTGCACACCATGTTAGAAACTTTCCTAGTACCGGCAATGTCTTGAAAGTTCTTTTCACGAATGTTCTGTTACGCAAGTTCTTACGAAGTTTGATGTTCAAATAAAATGAGAAAATAGTTTTAGAAGTGGGAGTTGATGGTTGACAGTGGAACCCTAAAATGGAATTGTTTTAAATTTGAATTCGAAAATTGTTCTTTAATATAAGAAAATAACCGTGGAATCAATTACCGCCGCTTGAAATTAGTACAAATTTGGGCGAAACGCGTAAATTTTGGTTAATCTAGAACAAATATAAGATAATTGTTTGTTCATGCATTGTTTTCTTAGTATAGATTGAAAATATGATAGGAATTGGATATGATACTATTTTTTCAGTATACATTAAGCAGGTATACAATTTTGTTCTGCATGTTCTCTGTATGTAGACTTTCAGAACCATTGTTAGTCAATAACTCTTTTAACTACCAATAGTCCTGCAAAAAGAAGTGTTAAAACTTCAAACTAAGTATTTGTGACAATGTCTTTCTTCGTGAAGTAAGCATGAAATGTGAAACAAAAAATTGTTGATGCCTTATTGACAGAAATGGAAAATATAGTGAAATCTTTAGGGGATACGCAATCCTGTTCTAACCCAACTAAATCGCAGAATAATAAGTTGTCATCCTTAATTTGCTTTTTTAAATTTCGCTCTCACATTTACTGCTAAGTTTTCCCGATAACGACCAAGTTCAATAAAAGATAATAAGACCAAAGGGACGAAGAAACACGTGTTATATTTCATTTATTCACTATTAGCCGGGCTGCGGGATGTGTATAACTAGTTCCACAACAGTTGTATTAAATTCACTAATAAATTGTGGTCTCCGCTTCTAAACCATTCGCATATACTCAAGATCTGTTATTTACTTGTCTCCATTCGCTAGCCGTTTAACCAAATTTAACTTGGATTGAACTGTTAATCTCGACTGTATAGGTATGATTCCGTTTAATATGCTGGCTAATAAATTAATTTAGCTAACCATTTTTTTACAAAAGTGCAAGATTACAACCTTGATATCCATGCGTCGTTTCTGTTTTTAACATGTTGTCCACAAATCTGAGGTACATCGGTAGTGAGAATAATAAATATCACCGGCATTTCGGCACATTCATAACGGAGATCTCGCTATCGCTCTTTGAGACCTGTGAAACTTTCTCGAATGATAGTTTCTATATTCAAGCCTAGCAGATTATTTGTCTTTTGTTTCTGGCACAATAAGGAACTGGAACGACGGAGCACAGGGTGGAATACGCTCAAACATGAAGACCGTCAGAACAATTCTGTAAGGCGTACAGACTGAAGGGCACTTACTCATGCAACATTCACCAGTTCACGATAGCAAACGAGTAATAATACCGCAAGTCGTAATACAATGTCTGAAACGTACCAAAACTTCTAATACTACTTTGCAAATGAAAATAGTTTAAGAAGTTGAATTAATTACATATACAGTACACATACTCCTGATATAGTATTAAGTAGTACATAATTATTAGGTAAAACATCTTTGAGCATTTGCATCGCTCAAGGTAAACTTGGAAAAAGTAATTTTTTTTGTCCACTGGGTCAAAAAAGCGATTTACTCATCGCTGTATCGGAACATTGATTAATGAGACAGGTGCTACGAAGCACTGAGGCCTTCAACAGACGTTAAGTTAATAAAAAAGTGCATGCAATTCATAGCTCAGATTACAATGTTGAAATGTAATCTTTCGATGTGAAGCTGAACATTTTTGTTGCACATATCCTTATTTCCTAATCAAATGCAGAAACTGATCAAACTGTCACTTCGAGAAGCTCGTTCCACGTTAGACACAGGGTGGGATGACCATCTTTTATTTGAGTATTGACTAAGCCTGCACTGTATTGTAAGAAAAACTCTGATTTTATTCAACTCGTCTGTTGAAACATTTGCTTCAAAGAGCTTACGAATCTCTGATTACAAGCAGGCACAGAGGTAACCGTCATTTAAATGAAGCACACATCCGAATGCACCTGATATCGAGAAGCAGGCCTTGTTGAACCAACTTCTCCTGTGCGACATATTTTGTCAAATTTTATAACACCATTTTGTAGAATGAGCCATGTCAGCATGAATAGAAGTCAGTATACCTATGACAACAAAATGTAATCGTCGAGCATGACAAAAAATAACACACTTGCGGATTGGAATGAACATTCATAATGAACTCATTACATTGCATGATATGTTGAGAGTACGAGCGGAATATATTGAACAAGTGTAGTACACGCGGACATCGATCAGGTCGTCAGATCGAGGCGACGCTAACATCAAATAGGTGGGAGTACATCACACATCAAATATGTGGGAACACGCAGACATCAACTGGGTGGGAATAGAACACACTGACATCAAATGGGTAATAATAGAACACGTCAACATCAAATGGGTGGGAATACTAGAACAAACACACAAAATGGAGGTCCAAAAAATGCCCTCTGAGAAAACAATGCCTCTTTTGAATTAGTAATACGTCACAATCACTGTTAAAAATAGATTTATACAAGTTACTGTTTTTTAATGCTTTGCCATCGACATTTTGCAATGGGATCAAATTTCTTAAACTGAAGAGTTCGTTCATTAAGTCTGAACTGTAATACCAGATTGAAGCGAGTATAAAAAAGTAATTTCACAGCAGCATTTTATAATAGTTACGACTCCTATACCTCGAATAAATATAAATAAATCAATTTTGAACATCTGCACAAGACGATAGCATCAATCTAAATTTATCTCAAAATTTTCATCTCTTCAGTTATATCGTCATAATATCCATCATTTGCAAGGAGTACAATCCAAGTCTTAGAAAAATATGGTAACGCAAGTTCTTATATGCATGGATTTGTGACCTCTTAACGTGAGCGCAAACCAAACGATCCGTGGACCTGCCAAACGAAAATTCCGTACGCGAAATGATTTCTTCTAATAATTGATATCGCTGACGCTTACGTTATGTGAAGTTTATATCAGCACCTAACACACCAAACATAATTCACTGGGTTTATGACGAACTTCACATAAACTCGCGTAAAGTAACATAAAAATGTAACGTAAAAATAAACATTACGTTAAAAAGCGAACAATTATCGGAATCGCATCCAGCATGACTCATTGCCGGTTTCATACGTAGATAACAGAAATAAATAAAAAAATCTTATTATAATCTGTAAAAGTGGCATTTTATTGGAATAATGTTCCCATTTGTCAAAATTTGGAACAAAATGTCGTCTTAAGACTATCAATGTCATCAAAAGGCCCATATATACTATATAAGAAAAATTGTGAGAACTGAGAAGTGACGTACGATAAAACGGTCCACGCTTCGTATAACGTAGAAGAAAAACAAAACTTTGGCACTGGAATAAGCTATGTAGCCTTAGTTAAGTAACTTTATTTTCTCTCTCTAAACTATTACTTAATACATCACGTTTGTGATTTGCGATGTCAGGGATACTATCGCTTTTGCTATTTAATCTAACTTCCTCGTACGAGGGACAGTCTGCCGTGACCACCACGTCCTCAGCTTTGTAGGACGGGTAGAGGGCGCTCTGACGGGTGCGTTTGTTGACGCCTTTAGAGTAGCCGTTCCAGTGGTTCGCTGCAATGCCGATGATGTCGCCCTTCGTCAAAGCCATTTCGTTTGAGCCGCTGCACAGAATATAAATGATTGGCTATAGGCAAACATCTAAAAAGATTCTTTTAGAATTTGGCTGCCGCCAAACATATTTTTTGACTAATACAGCCAATCATATTTTTAAATTTTTGGCAGTAGGCAAACATCTAAAAAGATTCCTTTAGAGTTTGCCTACAGCCAAATATCTTTTTATATGCTTGGCTATAATTGAACATGTAAAAAGATTCTTTTAGAGTTTGCCTACAGCCAAACATCTAAAAATATATTCAGTTAACGCCCCGAAGCGCAGTCTCATTCAAACTAATGTGACTAGAAACTTCACTTCCGCACCAAAATTATTTAATCATTATTAGTAAAATAAAAAATGATTTGAGAATTATATGAAAGTACAGCTTTAAAAAGGATGTTTACTCGCTTGAATAATGCGTGTCATGTGTTAACCTGAGGAGGAGCAGCGATTTGAACAAAATTTGGGCCATTTATCTCGTTTAACTGGCCCAAAGAGGCCCGTTTTTTTAATATATACTTCAAAGTCCTGAAGAACAATTACACTCATGCCCTTGGGCTTAAAATAATGGCGTTTGTTTTGCAAGGGATATTTTTCCACGAGAGCCTGCCGTTTACAGGACATCAAGGCAGTGCAACGGAAGCAAGAGGCACCTGCGAGGCACATGGTCGAAGCGCGCCCTCTGGTTGTGGGAGCTCTGGCCGTCGTAATAATAAATGTCGTCCAGCGAGTGGAAGGCGGACGACGCGTCGGGGTGCATCGTCTGCATCACCTCGTACGCTATCCGACACACCTGAGCCATCCAAGACAGTAATGTGGTAAACATAATACCCACATGGTTATAAACGTAGCAAGATAACTAAATGATATGCATGGTTAAATTGTAAAATAATCTGTGACGCTCACTGATGATATGTTCCATATTATCCACTATGACATCCATTGGAACAAAATTGCAGGTATTAATAAAAAAATTGAATTCAGAAAAATTGGATTACCTCGAACAATTTTAAAGCTTTATAGGTAAAATTTAGGTATTTTTCATCCTTTACAAACAAACAAAAAAATAGTCAAATGAAAGATCAGCCTATTTGCTCCAAACTGATATACTTTTTGGAATAGAAAAACTTTCTTTTCATCAAATCACATTGACATCACCATCATTAGATGGAAATGAAAAAGATTAATTTTCATCAAAAGGCATTGACATTGACATGGCCATCATTATATAAAGTAGAGTGACAGACCTGCGACGAGAAGGTGCACACTAAGTAGTCCGTGAGTGAGAGGAAGTGAATGTCAGCGATGATGCCCTTCAGAGCAGAGTCTGAGTAGCGGGTAGCGGGGGCGGCACTCTTGGCTATGTCAGGGTCGCCCAGAACTTCGTAGTTAGGATATCTGTAACGAATAACTCGATCCAAAATTAAGTTGTAGAGAACAAGAAAATGATTACTGTTATACTACCCAGTCTTACGTAACGTGGGTATCATCATAAACTCGAACACAAAATGAATATAAGTCGAAAATTCAGGTAAAGAGATGTTTTTCTAACTTTAGGAATTTTAGACAGAAGAAACTAGAATGCAAGTTCTTACAGTTAAATAAGATCTCGTTTTAAATATCATCTTGTAACAATAACATGCTAAATGTAAAGGGACAAGTAAATGAGAGCGCATATCACAGGAAATCATAATAATTTTGATAATGAAGAAACTTAAAAAAATTTAAGCATACTGGTGCAAAATTCGGTTTCAATTCGCGAGTAAAATTTGAAATTATAGTATTAATAAAATACTACAAATAATTTTGTATAATAATGACTGTCATCTTCATGCGGTCATTTCCAACTAAGTTACTTTTGAGAGATATATCATTCATTATCATTATATATTATATATATCATTCTTATATTTCAAAGCCGCTTTTTTAATAAAATTCTTTGTTTGCTTCTCCAGAACCGAGTTGTTGCTGGGATCCAGAATACTAAGCTGATCGGATCCACAATACTAAGTAAATTCCTCTCGAATGCAAAATTGCAAATGCATCTGGAATAGATGTATCTAGTGTTCACAAGCATCGTTAAGTAACAAGTTCACAGCGCAGTTTAAGTTAACAAACTCGAAACCTACAAAACAACTCGTGAAAATTGAGGTCGTAATCGGCAAGGTGGCCGAATGTTAAAAGTCGCCGCAAGGCCGATAAAAAATCTAATAACACCGAATATTTCAATGTTATCAGATGTGAATATTTCATTTTAAATTGTACCATCACTAACTTGCTCCTGGTATCCTTGATGACGCTGGGGTCGTCAGAGGCGACGTAAACTCTTCTCTTGACGTTGGGGCTGGTCAGGCTGAGGTCGTCGAAGTATTCGTCGACGTAGCGCATGTATTCCTCGATGGGATGAAACGCGGCCT